TATATATATATATACACACATATATATATATATATATATATATAAATAATTTTATTTTTTCTAATACATGGTTATTAACTACTTGATTCTCCTAGAACCACTCAGAGATCCTTACGGCAGAGACCCATATTACGAAAGACGATCAGACCCTTACATGGACCGCCGGGAGTACAGCAGAGAGAGGGAATTATACAGAGAGAAGCCAGAATATGAAAGAGAAAGATTTGACAGGGAGCGCTACCCCCTGAGAGAAAGAGATGACAGGTAAGAAGCGTCTTTACCGTTACTGACAGCATTTTTTCCTAACTATGGAGTAGTGTGCTGCTTCTTTATATATATAATATTGTTTTTTATTTGTCTGTATTTTTGATTCAAGCACTCAGGCCATGAATGATGAAAGGTACTATATCACATTGTGTCATACACTGTGATAAGTCTTCACTGTGCCTTTGTGCTAGTCTGAAATATGAAGTTCTGTTGATGAAATGAAACTTATTATGCCCCCATTGTCTGTAGATCTCCACTGGCGTCTTCTCTACGTTCCGGATACAGGGAGAGGGACCGGGATGTTCGAGATAGGGACCGAAGTGGCAGCCGTGATCCAGATGAACATTATGGGAGGCCAGGTTATGATAGACCTCCATATGAGCGTGCTATACTTGAGCGTACTGGGCCTGAACGTTACAGCCATAGCCCATCACCTTACAGTAAGTTGAACATGAGGTAACTCAGGGTAAATTGGTAAAGTAAATATCAAATAAGAAAATCTAAGCTTAAGATTTTTTTTTTTATCCTATAGTGGACAGAAGAAGTTATCCAGATGACAGAGGGCCCCCCACTGCACCACCAGTCCCACCTCCGCAACCTCCCCCACGTGTTGAGAAGAAGCCAGAAATCAAGAATATCGACGATATCCTTAAACTACCTGGCAGATTGTCTCGCCCTGAAAGGGTACCAACTACCACTGCGATCTTAATTCATGCATCAATACCCCACTCTTTAAATGAGCAGCACTCATTGAAGTTCTCTATTTTAACAGATTGTCATAATCATGAGGGGGCTTCCAGGAAGCGGAAAAACCCATGTTGCAAAGCTCATACGGGTGAGTCGAGTCCTTCTAGCAAATTATAGGGTTGTGTAATTTGATTGTAAGCTAAATGAACTTTTATAATAAGTGCACAAACAGTAGAACCCTTACTTATAGACTGTCTTTATGTGTCATTAGGTTTCAACATAATAAATGCTCTTTTGTAACGACACAAAATCTTAAATACTCTTTTCTGTCTTGTGGACAATGTTAAGGACAAAGAGGTTGAATGTGGCGGTGCACCTCCCCGAGTTCTTGTTTTAGATGATTATTTCATGACAGAGGTTGAGAAAGTTGAGAAGGACCCAGACACTGGGAAGAGGGTCAAAAAAAAGGTAAGTCTGACAGATGAATTGCAAAGAACATGCACTAAAGCAAAACACATGCACGATGTAATGCAGAAAAACCTGTCTTGCAGGCTATGGAGTACGAGTATGAGCCGGAGATGGAGGATACTTACCGGAGCAGCATGCTTAAAACGTTTAAGAAAACCTTGGATGATGGCTTTTTTCCCTTCATTATTTTAGACACTATTAATGACAGGGTTAAACATTTTGATCAGTTCTGGAGTGCAGCTAAAACTAAAGGCTTTGAGGTGAGTTATATTAATGAGAGAGCCAGAAAAACACTCCTGTCTGCCCTGTGCTAAAAAAGGATTTGTTTCTCTCATTTCAAGGTGTATTTGGCTGAAATCACTGCAGACACTCAGACTTGTGCAAAGCGGAATGTCCATGGGCGCACGCTTAAGGATATAATGAAGGTCTATAAGATCACTTAGCTGATCTCAAATACAGAGATATTTGTTTGGACTGCAAAAAGGGTAACGTTTACTAAACGTATAGATGCAGCGTACACTTCTCAATGATACATTCTGTATACAGATGTCTAATAACTGGGAGCCTTCACCACGTCACATGGTGCGCTTGGATGTCCGGTCCCTGCTGCAGGATGCTGCTATAGAGGAGGTGAAATTTTTCAGTCTTGACAAAAATCAGAAAATTACTCTTCTTCTTTGTTGCTAATTAAGATAAACCAACATGTGCTTGTTGTATTTTTTTTAGGTTGAAATGGAAGATTTCAATCCTGATGACGAGCCCAAGGAACCCAAGAGAGAAGAAGAAGAAGAGAGTGATCTGGTAGGACATGAAAAGCTTCACTTAATAAATGCGTGGTTCTTAGATTCATATCCACTATTTTTTTTCCCCATCTTCCATACAAGGCTTATCCAGTAATTTTTACACAAGTCATTAGTGTTATCTCGCCACTTCTTGTTTCAGCAAGGTGAGTTTTATGTCTCAAATGAAAAGCAAAACAGGTGAAATTCGTGGAAACTGTCAGGTTCATTCAAAATAATTAGGCTCGTGCTCTTTTGTGTTTATGTAGCAATTAGAAAATTTACAGTGAAGCTCAAAGAAGAGCAGGGAAAATAGTACCAAGACTGAAACATATATGATATGTATAGCTGGAGCAGTCCATTAACTAAAGGAGGACAGTACCCCTTTAGTGTTATGGTTTTATTTTTATTTTTTCTAGCATTTGCTCAGGTGTCCATGACTGACTTAGTTCAAAATAATTTTCATGCTCACCTTAATGTCAGGGATTAAAAAATGGCTTTAAATGGTTGCTACCTCATGAGAAACTGTCTCACTTCAGTGTCATGATTCTGATGAAACCAAAACCAGTTGCTCAGTTTTGGTTTCCTTTTATTTTTAAGGCACACTTTATCTAGATAAATCACACGTAACACAACCCTATAAAATATTTCTCATTGTGCAAAATGTATTTATTCCTTACCACCCGCTTTTATTTTGTATGCCGTTACTACAAAGTTGTAAATTTTTTGAGAAAGAATTGACATAAATTTTTCTGCCAAATTTTGCACCCGAGGTCAACAGTGCCTTGAAACGCAGTGCAGTTGAGTTATATTCTAAAAAGAGGTAACACAGCTGTAAAGATTTTCTAACCTGGGCAAATTTGAGTAATGGACTTTTTTTTTTTTCTATCTAGAATGGTAAAATGAAACTTTCTCTTCACTGTTTGATGAAGCCTATAAAGCTGTACCACATAAAATACCAACGTCTAAAAGTTTCCAAACGTGTTTCATACAGTTTCAAATTCAGTGGCTTCTTCCCACATTGGACTGCTGGGAAAAAGTTTATGAACTCATGAATAAAAATTCAGTAAACCAGTTTCAAGTTAAACTCTCAATTTATTAAATTAAAACTATTATGTTTTGTTTCTGTTTTTTTCTAATATTTGCAAAACATCCCGGGAGCAACACGTTCTTAAAACATATACTATATTTGATGGTTAATAAAGTTTTATTTAATCTTAAATAAATAAATAACTGAATTTCCTGGAGGAACCCACCTGAGGGATTAATCAAGTTTTCTCTAATCTAAACTATATTGACAAAAATATTGGGCCACCTATATATACTAGACCTGCTGCTGATTTTATGGCATTCCATGCAAAATTTGTCTTCCCTTTGGATCTGTAACAGCTTCCACTTTTCTGGAAGAGCATTTGTGAGGTTGAGCACTGATGTTTCACGAGAGCATTCCTGGGCATGCTCATGGTGAAACAGAAAAGGGCATTCCTCCTAACTATTCCCACAAAGATGGAAGCAGAGAATTGTCCAAAATAGCTTGGTAAGATACAGCATTAAGTTTTCCCTCACTGAGAGAGAAAGAAAAACAAGCCATAGTATTATTCAGTAAGTTTTGGTCTAATTCTTTTGTCCATATAGTGCAGAGGAATTTAATTAAAATTTAAGGAGGTCCACTTGAGAAAATCTCTTTAAATATAACATAAAGCACAAATCAACAATGTTTATATATGTTTATTATATTAAACATCATATTAATTTTCACTATGAACTGGAGGGAGTTTTAGTAATAAAATAGTAATAATAATAATAATAATAGTAAAATGTTCTTTGCTCATTTCAAGTAAAATAAGGTTTACAGTCATAAATGTAAAAAATAGAGCTTTTGAAAAAATTATAGTTGCATTTCCTGTTTTCTTAATTTTTCCTTGACTACATTTCGCTTCTCAGCTTCAACCCCTTTTTTCTCAGTCTAGTACTCTGACTTACTTCTCCAGACTTATGCATCTCGTCTCCTTGCAGAGTTTTCTGTTTTCACACACACTCTGAATAAACAGTTTGCTTAGCTAAGTAGCATCACCTGGGATGAATTAGAAAGCTGTTTTTCTGTGCACATAAACTGACTGCTATAAAGACAAAGGAAAAGGATGTGCATCTTAAAATAGCCTTAACTTAAATACAAGAAAAGCTACACAGCACAGAGTAAAATAGAAACAGTCCATCAGTTTAGTAATAGGTCTGGATTTGGGTCCGGACTGCAAGTGTATTCACTCATGCTGGTTTTTCTGAAGTAGCACAGGCAGTCTTGGGTAAAAAGACTGACTTTAGTTAAATATATTTTAAATGGCATGATAAAGTTCCCAACTAAACCTATCCTGCTTGGAGTAGGAAATGGCTCATTCAACAACACTATAAACAGTCAGTATTAATAATTACATAAAAATATCTTAATTATTTTCATTTTTATTTCTTCCATTATAATATAAAGATGAGCTCCTGTCCCATGTTGTTAACTGAGACAGTTAACATTTGTGGTGTTAGAGCCGTTTGCAGGCTTTGGGGGATTATTTCATTCCAAACTACTTTTTAAAATCTTTTGTTTAGTGTTTTTTGTTTTATTATTTACCCTGTTTGTACTTTTTATGGCTTTTAGTAGTTTTATGAAATGAATTATGAGAGATTTATCCTGCTAAATTGTTAATATTAGTTCATATGTATTGTGATTACGTATTGAAAATTTTCCAGTGCAGACCATTTTTATGCAGGTGTGTTCTCCTTTGTGTGCGTATGTCATAATTATAAACTTGACAGATTTTTTTTTTTTTTTGCATATGGCTTCATTTTATTGATACTGAGATAATTTATGTAAATAACTTAATGAATAAAGAAAAAAAGAAATTCTAAAACATTAAAGTAACAGACACTATAGAGATTGACAGACCACGTGATTTTCGCGCATTGCATGCCGGTAACTCGTGGCAAAACAATCCAAGTACCACATCAAATGCAAGCATTTGCAGCACCGCAAAACGTTCATTCTCCGGTTCCAATACCTTCTTGATTTTTCTTTGCCCCCCAAAAAAGTTATGTACAAAACGAAGGAGAACAATGCTGGTCTGTACAAAGACAGACTTGATGAAAAGTCAAAGAAAAGATACGAGGAAAAAATCAAAGGAGTGAAAGGTTTATACCCTTACGAGCACACAGAGTGGACAAAATACGTTAGCGTGCTGCCCAACTTTCACCACGCTCATATTTATAATTATACGGTTCTTGGAGTGAGTGCATACACTCATGGAGTTTAGTAACTTCAGGTCAGATGGGTACAGGACCATGAAATGCACCATGTAGAACGAAAGACCATCGTACGTATCATAAGTTTACCAGTCTCACAAATCGTCTTCATAAATACACATTCGTTAACCGTTTATTAATAGGACCTTTAAGCTCAACGGTAATTAATTAGTAGTGGAAATAATTTCTGGTTCGCATTACAGAAATGTAGCAGTGACAATAATACTGTATGCTGTAATTGTACTGGGCAATTAGTGATACAAAAAAACCTGTTTTATCCTGTGAATAAAAGTATATGTTTTTGTCAATGTACCATGGTAATAACAGAATTGAAACACAATATTCTGTCAGGACAATTCACTAGTTATGCACAATAAACAAAGGAGCAATTTCTGTTCAGCGCCAGACTTGCTTGTAACCTATATCACCAATTATGTTAAGAAAAATTACATATTAACTACAACAGAAGACTGACCTTTGTGGAAATGCTTGGAGCAGACTAACCTGTGAGCTGGAGTGTTCTGGGACATTATATTTGGTCTTTGAATGGCTGCAATCCAGGCCATCCGTCACCTCTTTTTACTTCAGAAACATGGCTCGAATAATTTCTCTTCAATGACGTAATCCGATAAAAAAACGATCTCTTTACCCGTCAACTTCCCGTGGCTGTCATGCGACCGGCTATTGCAGTTAATAATACAACCGCTTCTTGACAGTTTTTTGTGTTTCTTTTTATTGCTGTGTAACTGATTTCAATTGATTGTACCTCTTGCCACGAGTTCCCAGAATTCTTTGCGGTTTTACCCTTGAATGACGTCACATTTTCAATCTCTATTGCGGTTGTTGTAATTTAAAGTTAAAAAATCCAATGTTATATAGGACTATGTCATTTTACAAAATATTATTTATATTCAAAGTTATTTTTGTTCTTATTTATTTAAATATTGTTTGGTACTTAAACCACCAGGTCATTGATTTCTCTGAGTATGGTCTATTATTTATGAAATTAAAAGATAAAAATATGGATTGTGCAGAAATGTGCAGTCTGTCATAGGACAAACAGAAAAAAACACTAATGTGTAAGGCTGTTTTGACCACTTCAGTCCTGCAGTCCCACACAAAACCTGTGTTATCTTTTTTTTTTGCTGTTTTGTCAAACTAAGATTAACAGTCCATGTAAACTGCAGGTCTCAAACTGCTCTGACATTGAATCAAATTGGGTCACTTTGAAGGGGCGCCATGTTTGTTTGATTATCAGAGCTGTCACTGTAAAATTTAGTTCTTTACATTTTTGTTGATAAATGCTTAGAGGTGAGACATCTAAACTTCAGAGTTAATTTGAAATGAACAAAACATTTTTAATTGTTTTTACTTAACCTCCTGAGACCCTATGTGCACATTTTAGCTTTTCTGCACTTCATTCTGCTCAGTGTTTTTGGTACATTATGTACTATGTACAACTAACATTTTGACTTTAGATTTTATTCTTAAATTCTATATTGCGATGTTAGTACAGAAGATGTAGCTATGGGAAAGTATTTAATCAAATTTAACAGACTGCTCAGATATCAAACTGTGTGTGACAGCTCACCTGTCTAAAGTGAAGTATACAAAATTCTGACACATCTAGTCTCCATGTTAAATATAATTTATTATAACTAGATAATGAAGTTGTGCAAAAACATAAGCTTGCTTGTTTGGAAACCCCGGTGGGATTTATTCTGCTGCTGGTATCTAAGAAGAAAAGGTCAAAGACTGCTTTAAAAAGCTGGAAGCAACCAGCTAACTTCAGTTTTGGATTGTAGCCCAATCGACAGTTTAACAGACTCATTAATTCAACCTGTGGCAAACTCTGTTTTTGTATGGTGTTGTAACTTGTGATTTAAAGACAATTCAAACAGTAATAGATAGTAAGAATTCTAGAGCAGAGTGGATGAGGGGGAAAAAATTATCTCTTAATTTTATGTATTTATATAACAGGATCCTGGCTTTGAGGTGAGATTACAGACACCATATGCGAGTGTTTTACTGTAGTTTTTTCCCCCCCTCTTGTTCTTTTTTTTCAAGCATCTTGAGATGCAGGTGACAGTGGTCCTCTTGATAGAATTTAGTCCAAGTTGGGGGAGCTTTTAGGATTTATGTGTGTGAAGCGTGGCTACCACCCTGAGCACCAAAAAACTTCTTTGTATAAATGGTATTTGAAATGTAGTTTTCCTTAAAATAAGCCATAAAAATCCAGTTTCAATCATACAAATACAATTTGCTATGAAAGGATAGTCATCTAACAGAACATAGATAAAATGTACTCTACACACATTACAGAGGCTGGGTACTGGCTCATAGGAAAGCCAGATGTACACAATATTTGATAAGCTTCCACACAAAGCCCACACCTTACCTGCAATGACTCACACTTTGGCAAAGCCAACAGTGTTCTGACATCAAGCATACCCAAAGTACACAACCATTCTACAACAGCCGCAAAGCATTGTTATTATGAAAGACATCATTTACAGAATAATATCTGCCACTGTCAATTATATAAGTAAAACCAGGACATCAGATCATCACGCAACAACTAATATTAGGCTAATGTGTATTTAACGCTATAGTTGGTGAAAAAAGGATAAGCATAAGAGAATGGATGGATGTTCTTAATCTCATTCTTGTACTCCAAAAGTGCTTTTTACTTGTGATTCACTGATGACACTTTTTATCATGTGTATCTCCAGTCACTGGAGGTACTTGGGCCATCATCAAGTTAACTGTAGCTGCTACAGTTAACTTGAGTGCTCATTTTTTCTCCTGTTCATCCGTCTGTTGTCAGTTTATTCCTAGAATTGAGGGCAACCTCAAGTCCAGTTTGGAATTACGTTTGGATTTCCAAACTGTCTCTTGCTGGATTGGTCTCTTGTGGAGGTACTGTGAAAAACAGATGTGAGCAAGTGTGCCTTAAAAAAAACCAAAAAAACAAGAAGAAAACATTGACATCCCTTAAGACATCGAGCCCCAGGGTCTTTTGTACAAATAGGCTTTTTGGGGTAACTGCATATAAGCTCAAATTGATCCTAAAATGGTTAATGCAATGTGCCTATGTTAGGTTGAGCAACAGAGGTTTGTGTATTTCCCTCTTATTTACTATTTGTTAAACATCAACTTTAACCAGAAATGTAAAGGGGAAAAAATCACTTTATAAAACTGATGATTGTCTTTTGGGCAAAGGCCAAATTATCTTAAAGCCCTGCAGAAAGCTGACGTGTTCAAATGCCATCATATCAAATGAAGACAAATACCTGAGCTATTTTCTTTTCTTTTAAAAAAAATATTTCATCTAATTTAATCGTCGAAGGAATACATTCACATTTAAAACAAAAGGAATATGTATAGTTTGTCACGTTTTTCTTTTTTTTGTGTGATATTTGAGATGATGGGCATATGTTAAAAAATCTTCAATTAAAAAGAGGTTTCTCTAAAAGGATACTAATCCTAAAGCCATCAGTGTGCCAGTTGCATTTTAACTTTTCCAAAAAAAACCACGGCACTTGGGCCTTTCACAGGGTAATGCAGCAAAGTAAATAAAAGATAAGGATTTGTACAAGTCTGCATTGATCGAAAACTTGATCTAATAGGTGCATATACTTGAGGATGTTGGTAATCAATCGCATATAACATGTTTTTGGTGTTTTTGATTAATTTTCACAGAAAACAAAATCTGTTTGTTTGTTTTTTTCCTTTCTTTTCCTACAAAGCATTCAGTAACTGCTGGAGGGTAATATAAGCAGTACTTAACCAGTATTTTGAATATTTTAAATAACATTTTAAAATGGCATTCATTCAGTGACTTCAGTAGGTAATAATAATAATGTGCAACTAAAAATCAAAACAGATGTCAGTTATAATTTATTTATATATATATATATATATATATATATATATATATATATATAATTTCTATTTTTTGAACATTGTTTGGTGTTAGGAGGGATGCACGCAATGGTTATATTAGTACTGACCTCAGCGTTTAACTCTTCCAAAATGCAGGTTACAAGTGGGTAAAATCATTAAAAGTATCCTACGGAGCCCATGGAACTGTTGCGGAAGGCATCACCAATAACATTACAAAGAGATGAAATTGATATTGAGCAGAATTTAGTTCAGTTTGTTGGTGTGGCCCTCCACATCAGTCCCAGTTTCACATGTGGCCCCTTTGGAGAATTAATTGCTAAACTAGATCATTTCTGTTTTCTGTTTTGTTGGCACATTTTTGCATATCTCCCAAATGTACCTGGGCTGTGACCAGTCGAAGATGACGGTTAACATGTGTAATGAGCAGCATTAATAAATAAATCCAGTTCAGATCTTAGTTCTGGCCTGTGGCCATACAGTTAAAGCTGATAGTAATGCATTCCATATTAGCTACCCTGTTACTAACATGATGCATTAACATTTTCGTAGAAACATTTCCATCAAAAGTAAAATAATCTACTGGGTCTTTGGTTCCTTAAATCTTCAGTTTGGAAGCCAACAATGAGCATTTCAGAGTGAACAAACGTTCCTTTACGAAATTACAATTTCAGTATCTGCTGCTTATTCTTTGTTTAAAGGCATGCAAAAAAACAAAAAATGAAAGCTTCAAGGAAGGCATTATGCAAATGTTTCCCTGTTGACGTAGAAAAGTCATAAAAGAAAAGCCTGATGTTTTCAAGCAGTATTTTCTGTGGGAGAAAAAAAACTGCACCAGAGTGCTGGTGTTATTTTGGTCCCTGTAACTTTGCAGTTAAATAGTTACACACGTAAGTTTTAACACATTTGTTGATGTTGTTGAAGTTTTGCAGAGGTGAATTCTGATAAAGAAATCCAAACAAGCAGCAACCAAGTGTCTTCAATAAATAACACATGTTAAATTCCTACATGCCAATGTTGTCATGCATATGCCATGTGGAATTAAACATAAGTCAGATTTTATCATACTCATTTGCAGGGTGATTTCCATACTTATATAATGGATTTGACATTTTATGTTTTTGAAAATAGAAAAACTACTTAAAAAAACACCTTATACAATCATTAAACGCAGTATTCACAACATGTGAACTAATTCTGATGCTTTATCTTTTTATAATGCGTATGGTTGGTAAAGGTTAAAAACGCATGTTTTTATTGTTGTATTTGTTGTAACTTTTGCTGCCATGATGGCCAGTTCTCTCTTGGAAATGGAATTTAAATCTCAATGAGACTTTCACCTGGATAAATAAAGGATAATAAATTGCTTAAAAGTAAAGGACCTTCAAAACGGTTGATATAGTAATCAAAGCAATGCAATCAGTTAAAATGACAAAACATGCATTAAATATGCGCCTCATTATCTCAGGACCCTCAAAATTCAGACATTACATTTTTTAATGAAATAGCAAACATAGTTTACAATCTCATGCTAGAGAAGATGATCTGAACAAGTTCCCGATGCCTTATATCAAATAATTTACCGCTTGTCATCTATAAATTTAAGCAGTAAAAAGATGCTCTCTCAGTCTCTTTTAGGTGATATGCTAACATTATGAGCGCTATTGTTTAGTCTAACAGAAATGACTCCTTCAGAGATTAACAAACAATCCTGAAATTAATAATTAAATAGTGGAGTTCGAGCAATTTGCTGTTGCTAACCAAATATCCTTTATTTTAATGTTTTTGTTTTTTTAAATTTGTTTATTTTGTTTTAAAGGCCAGCTAACTACACAGTGATGTTACAGCAGGGAACCTCATTCATGATGATTTCATGTTTGGTAACGAAAGATCTCTACACACTAAAGTCTTTTCACAAGTAGTACTACTGCAATCTAAGAATCAAGAACCTTTGTTCTTTGTAAATTTAGTTATAGGTTTATCAGTGTGTGTGGAATGGAATTGATTTGAAAAAAAATTACATGTGAAATCTGTTCCAATCACATGATCATTAGCAAACTTCTCTCTCTCTAGATTCAGTAGCGCTCTGACTGTTGTTAAATGAAGTTTGTGTTCTTCAAAGCAGAGCACAGTTGTCCATTTTTAAGCCGGTAACAGAAAACAAAAGACTCAGTGTGAACACGTCTCACCTTGCAATAACACAAATTAAACTCTGTGCATGCCATTGTTAGTAGTTACTGTATGTCTTTACCAAGTATTGTACCAAGTTTCACCCTACAGTTGTGCTTGTTTTTGTGTCTTATAACCTCTGATAAACCAGTTTCCTGTCTTTTCAGCCAACTCCTTTCCCCACTTTCTCCACCCTTCCCTTTTCCCCCTGTATCACCCTGATGTTTAACCATTGCAGTGTTTCTTTATGTAATATAGGGCTACATTCCAAAAAGCAAATGGGAGATGGACACATCAGAGGCAAAACTTGGTAGGTATTTATTTTTTAATGATGATCCAGTCATTTGCCTTTGTCATATAGAGCCTTCTGCATCATTAAAATGTGTTTTAAGTGTCATGTAGCGAGATCTGTGAAGTCGTGTGTGTATGTTTTGTGTTCTTTTTTTCTGTTTCTATTGTGAACTTTGTTTGATTGATGCGATTCTTTTGCATTTTGATTGAGTCACTGGTGGACTTGGCCAAGTTACTGGTCTAATGCTTTGTTGCTGATGAAAAAAGCAATAATAGTTTCAACTGGTTTCTATATTACACTAAAGACCAACCAACAGCCAAACCTCATCATTATTAAAACTGCATATAGGGGATACAGCAAATAAAGAAATATTTAAAAAATCCTTTTTTGGGGGGTTAAACGGGTGTTTTAGCTTTATGTCTACATATAATTCTTTAGGAGCGTACAATTTTGGTGCTCTGAAGGGATTTATTCAGAAAAAGTTTGAGTCAAAGCTTCTTTTGGCTGCTCCTTTATTGATGAGGGGTCACCACAGTGAGTAGCTACCTAATGTTTAATTTGTTTAATCTCCCAAAGGGGTTTGAGTCTCCTCCCAGCATTGAACTGGGGATCTTTTGCGCTTGTTAGTACATTAGAGTACACTGTAAACCATAAACCAGTTTATGAATTATGCTTATATTATTTGATAGGACTTGTACAGCTGTTCTTCATTTAGTTGAGCAGGCGTTTTGTTAGATGAGGCTTATGGTGTTATAATCAATAACAGCACAGTACCTCCAGGCTGATCAGATCTAGTACAAACCGCTATTTATGTTGTTAGCATGTCAACAGGAAACAGTCAGTTACTGAATGAGACATGGGCTGCTGTTTCTGTAAGAACACCAGGAAAGCGTCTTAAGTTGTTTCCGTTGTGATTGTAAATTTAAAAAAAAAAAAAAAAAAAAGGTTACATTTTAAATAAAGACCTCATTTCTCTTTAAGTTAAAAAGACACATTATAGACTAATTCTTTGAATAAAAAAGATCAGGTCCTGGATCATCGTTTTATGGAGCAATGATAAAACAGATATTACTAGTTGTCTCATAATTTTATTTTATTTTTTGATAAATGAGTGATACCTTGTTGAGGTTTTATGTTGTTTTTATGGGAGAGTAGAGGTAAACTGAACGGTAATCTTCAATTTAAACAGACAAGTTGGACGGTCTGGGGAGTGGCGGGAAGAGGAAGCGTGAAGGCGAACATATGGCAGGCCTCGAAGACTACCTACAGCTGCCAGATGACTATGCCACACGCATGTCCGAACCTGGAAAGAAGAGGGTAAAATTTGACCTGACCATCTATGAGTGCATTTGTTTGTTAGTGAGGAAAAACCAAAAGTTCAGGGTTGTTTTTTCCTTACCATTTCTAAGAATGCACTGATACAACAGCTAGCAAATCAGCAAATATGACCTTTATCAATATCAGAGGCTGATATGTATATTTATGTCAGGTGTGAGCTGGCTACATGTTTAAACATGCATTTAAACAGTGAACGTCAGTTCACTAATAATTAAAAAAGAAATATAATAGAAAACTGAATTATTTTTAGCATTTATTTCACAGTTGGTGTGTCCCTAGTAGTTTCTATGATACTGAATGTTCAAAGATGTTACTGAATTATCTGAAATCATTTACCCATTTCTTGTTCATAACATGATACCTTGGGTTTCTCCCTGGTTTTTTTTTTTGTTTGTTTGTTTGTTTTTTTCCCAAAGGTTCGATGGGCTGATCTTGAAGAGCAAAAGGATGCAGATCGAAAGCGTGCTATTGGTTTCGTGGTGGGTCAAACGGACTGGGAGAAAATAACAGATGAGAGTGGCCAGCTGGCACAAAGAGCTCTCAACCGTACCAAGTATTTCTAAGAAGATAATCTTACACTTTTTTTGGTTTCAGTGAAAGGTTCGTATTTTTCCTATTCATATTGTTGAGGTGGTTAGAAAAATTGTAGATGATGTTTGTGGCTATTAAGTCATAATATTCTACAATTTAAAATATTTTAATCAGAATGTTTAATGACTCAAATGAGAAGTTTGAGGGAACTTCTTTTGTATCAGTAATATTGGAAACTATACTGAGAGAAACATTTGGTCAATCAGCCAGCCATTTTCCCGAAAAAGATTCGTCTTACCATTTCCAAAGTAATCTTATTGAGTTTGATTGGGAGCATACAGATTAAGAATGACTTATATGAGAATGCAGGTAACACTATTGTCTTCTGTATTTAACAGTAGTTAAGAGAATGCCTTAAAATACATGAAATTTCATTGTTTTAATGCAGTCCTTATTGTCACATAAAACAAATAAACTTGAGTGAAATTTAACCGTGAAATTACCAATATCATGCTTTTCTTTCTGCAGGTGCCCAGAATGTGAAAACTGCTGAAGCTTACTGGCGATGAAATTTTGATCAGGGTGATTTCACCAGCTGTTATCTGTTTCTTATTACATTCATTATTACAGATATTAGAGGCTTTTATTTCTCTGGATATAAATCAAATCAATATGTAGTTTATAATTCTCTGATACGTCTAGTCTTGCATCCTATCATTATTCTTATGTTTGGGTTTTTTTGCTGTTTTATACTCTTCCTAATTCATGTACTGTATACCTGTAGCAATGTTTCTTGGTCCATCCATAGTTTTAAAAGAGACAATAAAAAACACAATCTAAACTTTCTGAGTCTTACTGAATTTATCAGGTGGGTTTTATGATCTACGTATTTTGTATAAAATTGTATTTTGTTAGAAATTACCATGTAGATCAGTTGACCTACTTTGATTTTCACATGGCATTTTCTCACACAAAAGCTTTAACACTTTGGATTGCTTTACCCAGTGTCTTTACAACATCTATAGAAATAGCTGATGACCAGTTTGAAATTGGGCTGTGGGCAGCATCTGTTGAAATGGTTTACAGTGCATCCCTAACCCTCAAACAAACAAAAAAACCAAACAAACCCAAATTTTCAAAATATGGAAGAACATTTTGTAAGGGAAAAATCAGTCCACTCTGGGTTTGGGGTTCTTAGATGTCCCGTTTTTAAAACTTTTCTGTTACTGTTTTTGTTTAGTTTTTTTTTTTAATTAGAAAAACAAAAAAACAATTCTAATATTATTTTTTTTGCACTCAAAGTCAAAATAAGATGTTGCCTGTACCACATTTTGATTACTATACCCTCACTGGCCACATCATCCCTGTTACTAGTACTTGGTTGGGCTTCAATTTGCCTTCAGTTAGTGCACATTTTTTCAGCTGCACATCCATAGTGGAATCTCCCATTCTACCACTCCCATTCTGAAGGTGCTCTATTTGATTGAGATCTGGTGAATGTGGAGGTCATTTTAGTATAGTAAACGTGTCATGTTCCATAACCAGTGTGAGATGCTTTGAGCTGTTTACATGGTGCATTAGCCACCAACACACAATGGGTACACTTTGGTCATAAAGGGAAGGACAAGGTCAGTAAGGCTACGTTCACACTGCAGGTCTTAATGCTCAATTCCGATTTTTTTGATCAAATCCGATTTTTTTGTCTGCTCGTTCACACTACAAATAAAATGCGACAGCAAACGTGCTCTAGTGTGAACGCTCAAAGCGGCCCACATGCGCAAAAGAAGATGTCACACACAACGCGCTCTGTTTAGACCCAGACCAAACAGTATTGTTTGACTGATGGCTCTTAATATAAAGACTTCGGACTTCACGTTTCCCAATTTTTGCTTTAAGTTATTTTGTTATTTACATAATAATGTAAATAACCTAATAATTATTCTTATTGCTGTTTTAGAGGAGCGGTGCTTCAAAGGATAGTTGCAGATTTCTGTCAGAATCTGCAGATTATGCAGTACAAATAAAATGTTCACGTTTCTCCAACGTTGTCTTCCCAGCAGTTTCACCGGATGGCCAGGAAGCGTTCGCGATGTCTTCTTGGGCGCTTCTCTGGCGCTGATAATTGGCGTCTGTCTTGTGTCAGTGACGTAAAAGACGGATTTAATGCAACTTGACCATTCACACAGCAGTAGCTTTCTGAAACATCGGATATGTATCGGATTCAGTACGACATACAAAAGTGACCCAGATCGGATTTGAAAATATCGGATTTGTGCCGTTCACACTGTCATAGCATGATTGGATATGGGTCGCATAGGGTCAAAAAAATCGGATTTGATGCGCTTTCGCCTGCAGTGTGAACGTAGACTAACAGTACTCAGGTATGTCTGGCATATGAACAGTGCTCATTTAGTTCTAATAGCCCTTTTCCATAAGTACCTACTCAGAACAACTCAACATTTCTTTTTTTAGGGTTTGCCATTAGGTCATAGTACCTGGTATCAGGTACTTTTTTTAGTACCTACTCAACTGGGGTTCCAAGCGATCTGAAAATGTGACATCAACACACTGCATGCCACTGATTGGCTAGACAGGGATGTCACTTGATAAGTCATGAGAGCAACTTCTTCACGAAAATCAAACCCACCATTTTTGAAATCCAGCAACGATGGAAATGGCTACACAGAAACAACACTCAGAGTCTAACGAAAAGCCACAGACTGACTGCAGGTATACCATTATCTTGATGTCCACCTTTGTAGTGGCGTTCCGTGTTGCATACAAATGGCGTTCAACCGCATTCGTATAATGATCGTACGCACATTAGACGGTACTCTGTTGTCATGGAAAACAAGTTGTCAAGCTCCAACTTCTGACTCTACCATCCCAATGTCGCACCAGAAATCAAGGCTCATTGGACTCATTGGTCTTCTCCTTTCCAATTTAGGTGAGCCTATGTAGCATCAGTTTCCTTTTATTGACTTTAAGAAGTGCCACCCGATGTGGTCTTCCGCTGCTGTAGCCATTCTGCTTCAAGGTTCAATGTGTTGTGTGCTCAGAGATGTTTTTCTGCATTCCTTGGTTTTGACACATGGTTATTTGGGGTTACTTCATAAACCCTAGTGATGGTTATGTGTAAAAACCCCAGTAGATCAGCAGTTTCTGTAGTACTCAGACCAGCCCAATTGGCATCAACAAACATGCCACATTTAAAGTCCCACTTTTTCTCACTCACATTTTTGACTTCAGTAGGTTTGACCATTTCTACATGGCAATTAGCTGATTATATATTTGCAATAATAAGCAGTTGAACAGTTGTACCTAGTAAAATGGCTTCTTAGAGTGAAATGTATAGTTTCCCAAACTATTTTGGGTTTTTTGGCCCCTGTTTGTTGTTGAAATCAAGCACATCAGGATTTTTTTTTTTTTTTTTTTTTTTTAACAATAAATTTAATCTGGATTACCAACACACAACAAGGATCAATGGTTATAAACAGACAAATCACTTCTGATGAAGGATTAAATTGGCTTTGGACCATTGGTTGAAGTGTGCCATGCGGTAAATGAGTGGATGGATCCAGGTGGTAAGTATGGAACAAAGCAAGAAACTATTCCTTTATGTTAATACTTTTTTAACTGGTTCACTGACATTGTAATTGTAGAATTGAAATAGTTTGTGTTCTATATATTTTTGTCATTTTGTTTGTATGTACAGTAATAAGTTCTGTTCCATCAATATTAAAGATTTTCTAAATTCCTGGTTTGGAATTTATTTTGTGCTTTTTACAGAAAACAAAGTGTGATCTGTGACTCGTCGTGTCAACAATAAAATATTTTTAATCATGTAAAATATGTATTGTTGCTATATAATATAGCAAAATGCATGCATCTATCCAGCCAATGATGAAACAAAAACGATTGACAGTAGATATATATACACCCCACTGCCATCAGTATGGCAGAATCTACATTACTTTTCAGATGGCCAATCTTTGTTTTTAATTTAATAATAATAATTTAAAAAGTTTTTTTTTTCCCCATGAAGAAATGAGTAAGTCCGCATTGTGACCGGTCACTGTGGCACATGATCATGATGTCTCCTGGTTCTTATACAGACTGATGACTTTTGAATTCAGCTGGTACATCAGTGTCCAGTTTACAGATCACCTTGTAGATTGCCTTCTTCCAGGATGGATCACGATCTTTGCCCATTGAAATGGCAACGTAAAACTCTCTCAGTGTAATCTCAGCAACTTCCAGGAATCTGTCGGGCACCTGTGAATCCACACAAGAATTTCTTTAATGGGGGAGAGAGGGAATATGAGTCCTTTGCTGCCATTCTGTTCAGTCTGTCGTCGAAAGATAGTGTGAATTGTATATGGCACTATATTTTAGATGTGACTCTAACCGAGCAAATTCAGGTAAGTAACAAATCAGGTCTTAGCACAGAGACTGAGAACAAAATTAAAGGAAGTGAAATGATCAAAAACAAATATTATTTTAGCAAGTTTCCCTGACACTGATTCAGCTTTGTCCCAAACTAAGGTTTATGGTCTGGGATCAGGATTAATCCATGTTTGGGAAACTGAACCAATGAATGAGTATACAACTACCTGTGCTGTAATCAGCTTTTCTTATTTTGCAATGTGAACCTTTAAGTGTTTTAAACTACTGTCATGTAACAAAATAAAAGTGCATACACCAATTTTCCAAAATGGACCTGATAAGCAATGTTATGTTATTTAAAGATATTCATGCTGAAATGCAATTGTTAAATCTGGTGAAATTTCAAATGAGTACAGCGAGAATATAAGTGATTATAATAACGGTGGGGTTTGGTATGGATATTTTTTTAACATTTAAAACATATGCACAAAGATTAAAATCTTATTTTGCACAAACTCATGAGAGATATATTTGTGACGCCAAGAGTATTTAAACAACATGTCCAGAGTTTAAAGAAATTTATTTATTAGCAACAACACTCAATAAGTTCTATTGGTGGATTTAATGAACATGTTTAGGACGTATGTATAACATTAGTTTTTGTTTTTCTAGCTGATGTACTTTATGTCACTAACAGCTGACACTAATATGTGAGATGGAATTGCAATACTTGCTGTGTAATTAGTGTTGACCATATATGGACTGTGCTAAATTATTATACAAAATTTCATTGTGCATAAAAAAAGATTCTTTACTCCCTATTCGAATGGCAGTTATTCGTTTTACAGGTTTACTCAGTCCAGTTGCACAGCTAGCACAAGTATGTCTAATGAAGAACCATTTTTTTCCTTTTCTTAACCAGTCTGTTTGACATACTTGTAGCTCCTCTTATGCTTGCTTTGCTGTCTTTGTCTTCTCCCACTCAAAGCACAATTTATAGGTTTAATTTCTCTGTTACTCATTTGGAAATTAGAGGAATACTCATGTTAAAGCTTTAACTTTTCTTTGCAGAGAAGTTATAAGTTACGGTCATCACCAAGTTGATTATAGTTATATAAAAGAAAAATTAAAAACTAAAGCTAGTTATGAAAAATATTTTAGTTAACTAAAAAAATACTTTTAAAGAAAAAAGAAAACTAACAATTTTAGTTCCTGGGAAACTAATGATTGAAAAATATAGAGGAAAGTTCTTCGTTTTTAGTATTTGTATTTTAGTATATGTTTGATAACATTGAAACAAACAATAACTAAACATTTTCAACAATTACACTAAGCCTAACAACTCTGGTAATCACATGAAGGTTTAGATTTTATTAGGCTGATTCTGAGTTCTATCAAATCATGCTGAAATTGTCTCAGCCTTTAAGATCTACACGGAAATGTGTTTTGATTTAAAAGTTGGACAATAAAGAAAAATAATGGTTGTTTTTATTTGCAGAAGTGGGAAATCATGTTGCTTCATTAAAACTAATCACTGTTTTTAATGGTTTAAGTCATACTGAGCACATATAAATGACTACAATCTGCTATTTAATTACCAGTGATTTAAGCTTCTCAGTACAAACAGTCATCATCAGGATGTTTTAGTCCATTGTACTGATCAGCTCTGTTCACGGTGCTGACATTTACTCTGTATTAATAAATGTGCATTTTCAAAGCAAATCTCTATTTAACATATTACTAAGTGCCCTGACTTATTTTTTTCTTCAGTAAAGCTTGTCACAGCTGTTTGATCGAAGTGCAACACTCACATCAATATAACATATTAAACCTTTCTTTATATGAACTCTATGAAATAATTTGTGTCATTTGACCTTTTATGATCTCTGTGCAATAACAGCTCAACATGGGCACATTATGAATTAGAAAAATAATCATCGTGACTGTCTGAGAGAAACCCTGATATCAGAATAGGTCAATTTCTGCTTTCTCTTCATCAGTAGTTACAAATTATTAGGTTGTTTACAGTTTTGCAAACTTAACATTAACTGGGTGAAACATAACGCTTAACATCTAACTCTCTTATCCTGTTTCACTGCAGTCAACTGTTCAATAAAGGAAAAAATACTATATTTGTACTTAGGTGAAAAAGACCTCTCCATATGGGGACTAAATCAGACTGTAGAGAAAATTCTTACTTTGAAACATGCTTCTTGGGGTTTTTTTTGTTTGGTTGTTTCTAATTATTGCGTATTTGCTGCAGTTACACACGATTTGTAACATTTTCAGGTCCAGTTCACATTTTGGAAAGGTTAAATAAACATTTGACTCAACCCTTCAAAGCATGAACGATTAAATAATTGCCAGAAATCTTTTTTTTTTTTTTTTTTTACAAAACTCTGGGGTATTTAACGAATCTATTTTTTTTTTTAAACTGAATTTAAATATTAATTTGCGTATATTTTTGAGTTTTAATTTGTTTTGTATTTGCTTTTAATATTTTTATTTATTTATTTTCCAATTTAATACTTAGAAAAGCTTCTTATTTTGTATTTTCAGCAGATAAAAAAATCTCATGTATTAAATATGAAACACCAGGCTTTAAGGGGTTAAAAAAGAAAGAATGAGAATTACGTAACATCTACAGAATATTAGTAGTCATAATAATGTAATGAATCTTGGTAAGCTGTATTCCTTTATTACTTTTTCTGAAACCGATACGGCGACATAAAAAAGAGGAGCTGCAGATACAGTGGACACAGTACAGTGTTTCTAAAATAAAGATGATGCATGGTCAAAAAGGAGACTATAAATTAAGAAATCCCTCAGTGACACCTCACGACTCGCTTTTAGGAAGCAATCAGTGTGTTAGAGTAAAACAAGTCCTCAGTTGTTCCTCACCTGGAAGTCGCTGGCTTTGTTGTAGTGCCTGTTGAGAGCCCTGAAAAGTTCTGATTCTCTCCCCACAGTCAGACCCCTCACGTCTGCCACTCCTTCGATGAGAGCGTGTCGAGCAAACTTCTCCATCTGGATGTAGTAAAACTCCCTGAAGTTACTGAACCACTTGATGAGCTGAGAGCTGATGGAGTGCGTGAACTGAGGAGGAAAAAAAGGTAAGTGAGCTTGTCAAATGTGACAATGAACGGGTTTTTTTGTGATTTGTATGTTTTACAGTGCACACTACAATATGTGAAGCAAATAAAATCACCCATGAAACTATTTAACTGTCTTCTGTTTTTTTTAACACACTAAATTATATGATGATGTCTTTGGTTTGTGGATTATGATGCTGAAAACGATGTAATAATAAATCCAGAGGTTACAGAGGACTCTTTGTATGTTTTCAGGTTGAGACTTTTCTCCCAAAATGGAAAGTAGCATCACTTTTGCTCAAATGCAAAATAAAATAAATTGTATAAATCTGTCAATTCAGCAGATGTAACATGTTTTCTATTCTGTGAGAAGGACGATAACACGACACGTGCAAGCCGTCTCTCACCTGTACATCGTGGAAACACATCTTCAGCACAAGTGAACTCGGGTAGCGAGTGTAGAAAAACACAAGCTTTGCTTTCTTCAGATGGTTTGTGGTCAGACCCTCCTAAAATTCACCAGCGTTAAGGACGAAACGCAAAAACAAGATATTTTCTCTCCAAAACTGATTCATTTATAGCCAATATACGATGAAAATGTTGATTCCACAATGGGTAGGTTTATTGTCTTTTTCTTTAAAAGGGGTGGCTGGGAATCAGGAGGTCCAGCAGATCATTTACTAAGTAAATAAAGTTTATTTGTAAGCGCCTTTTAGGACAAAACCAGTCACAAAGTGTTTAAAAGAGGTATTAAAAACAGGGTCACCTACCGATTGGAAGGCCAGTGGTTCAATCCCTGGCTCATCAAGTCCACATGCCTTAGTGTCCTTGTTAACATACTGAACCCCAAATTAAATTGATGTGTTTGTGCTTGATAGAAAGTATTTAAATGAGACTTATAGTACTTACAGTAAAGACTTTAAAGACATCTGCGTGAGATGCTACAGTATTCAGATATATTGGAGGTGTTCTGTCACTGCTAAGTGCTACTTAAAGCCACAGGTTAACACAAGAAATTAGAAAGGATACATTCAGCATGTACAGGTTGCTTTTCACCAGGCTATCAGACTCTGCCTTCACATGAGGGAGACCAGTGCTTTCCAAAAGCACTGGATCTGCAGACACAGCGTGAGCCTGTGGGCTTCTCACAGATCTGGAATTGACCTTTGATCTCACTTTAACTGACTTCCGGCCTTCTTCTGAGTAACTGTCCTGTAGGCTCTTGAGAGCACGGTGATTCTTCTCTGATGCTTGAGATTCCTGCAGGGCAGAGTCAACGATGAGGAAATTTGGAGATTTTGGACGGTGGTGAGCTGTTAACCTGGATCTTTCCAGTTCATGTTTTTGCACAACCAGAGACAGAGCTTCTGTTTGAACATCTGGGGTTTGCACCACTGGAGTCCCACAACATGGAAGTCTTAACTTATCATCATCACTGCTCACCGATGGCTGAAGAGACGTATCAGTCTCTACATTTTCCACTTCATATGGCGACGTCTGTAAAAGCGGCACATTTTTGAAAATGGAGTCAACGCTCTTGCTGACAACTCTGGACAGCTCGTACTTCAGAACATCTGCCATTAGCCTTATTCTGGCCGGTTTGGATTGGAAGTAGTTCATCAATTTAACCTTCTTCCATCCTTGATATTTTAGACTCGAACTGCTCTCAAACTCACTGTACAAATCTGTAAACGCATCACCAGATGTTTTGATGGAATCATGGGCTTCACTCACTCCATCCAGGTGAGTAACCTTTGTTCTGAGCTGCCTGGGGTGCTGATGCTGGCTCTCCAGCTGCTTTCTTGTTACCTGGCTTTGAGCCGTGCTTTCCATGCGTTTCTGAAGGAAAGGTGCTTCTTGGATCTTTTCGTCATTGTGCATGCAGTCGGTCTCTTTACGCTCCTTCGTTTTCACTTCTGTGTCGTACATATGAGGAGGGCTGGTCATACCTTTGATTATATTTTCTACTCTCGCACGCTTTGCTTGATGGCCTCTGTTCAGGTTCCAGTCATGGTGACCATAAGAAGTGGGTGCGGGAGACGGGTGTCTTCCCATGGATAAAGATCCACTGGTGCTGCCTCTGGATGAAGTAAGATCCAGTTGACTGGAATACATCAAACCAGCATCTGCACTGCTATAATAAGCACTATCTGGTAGTGTTTTCATGTTCTCGCCTTCTCTGTGTAAGGTCAATGAAACGCCTGATGAATCTGAGTTTGATGGCATGAGGTCAGGCTGAAAAGAGGAGAGATGCTCTGCAGCACAGCCATCCAGGCAGATGTTGCTGGAGGAATACATGGCTTTGCTCCAAACACTCTGATTCATTCTGGTAGGGTTAAAAAGACAAAAGTAAAAAAAAAAACACTTATGAATAATAAAATGCAAGTAATAGAAGCAGGAAAGAGAACTTGGTACAGCTAGTGGAGACATCTTTCTCACATATACATGATATCCCTTTTTAGGTTGCAGGTTACCTTATTTTAAAAGTGTCTATTTAATTGAAATCAAACTAAATAAGTAAAAATACAAACAGATATCATCAACATGGCTTCCTTTTTACTCGATATGCAATATAAAACTTACCTGTCTTACAGCTCAGAGGAAGGGTGCAGCTCTGGGTCCTGGAGGAGGAGACTCGGTTATTTGTAGTGATACAGCAGAGAGCGCTCCAGAAAGCAGGAGGTGTGTTCTAATATGTCAGCCTATCCCGTCCCCGTAACCTACCACATTATTAATAAACATATGAATCTTTGAAGGCTAGTAATGAATAAATTGTTACTTCTTTATGAGTGTATTCATTCATTGTGTCTGTTTTCTTGTTTCTCTAACACCGTGGTCTGCATGATGTGTTATCAATTATAAGTTGCTTTAGTATAGTATGCAGACATGGTACAGTCCTGTTAAATAAATTATTTTCATTATGTTATAATAAGAAAAGCTACATTTATTTAATTTTAATGACGATATTTAAAGGATTAAAGTTCATGGTGAGGCGAACTATGACCGGAGTGTGAGTAATATCCAGTCTGCTCCCACCGCCCGCTACGGTGGACCCCTCCAGTCCAGCAGCAGTGGTTCCTCCCATTCTGAGAGCTCTGCCGGGCTTCCGTACCGCCGCTTCAACCGCTGTCAGGACCAGGCAGACACTCTCCGGCCACGCTATGTTATCGCGATCTCCGCGTGTTTACCGGACGCTGTGCCGCTCCCTGTCAGCGGCTCGTCAGGTAGGCTGGGAAGAAATAGCCAAACGAGTCTGTGTTTTAAAAGCGCTTCGAGGAGTTACAACATGGCTAGCTTGTTAGCTCGTAAACGCAGGGCCTCGTTCCCAGGGACAGACCTGCAGGCACACTGACTGAGAGGCAGCACAAGTTTGTGAAGAGGTCCCGCACACCCACCCCATTCACTGTCCCGCTAACTGTTTTGTTTCTTGGTAGTTTTGAAAGCCCAGCAGTTGCTGTACACTGCTATATGTGACAGGCACATTCTGAAATAGGATGATGTTTGCGTGTAGAAATAGCCCGTGTCCGACGTGTGTGTAACAGATAGCATGGCTTTTCCTTCACAAGTCCAGCAGTGCGTGCAGATGCATGAGCTGAAATATGAGCTGGGTGGTACTAAGTGTCTCCTCAGAGTTGAACTGTACTTCTCATGAGTGTGTTGTCAGTGGGTTCAGTCTGCAGAGTTGTGCTGATAATGGTTATCTTGGCTATCAACACAGCTCCTGGTTGAACTGTGTTGGTTGTCAGTTACTTGAAATAAAAGCGATGAAGTGTAGATTAAAGGCTGGCATTTTCCCTGAAGCCTCAAAAAAAAAAAAAAAAAAAAAAGGTGTGGACTCCTCTTTAAGTCATGTTGGTGGCTTTGCGATGACACAGTTGTGCTGCATGCTTATTTTTTAATACTGCACACACATCAGCTGGATGTTTATAATAGGGATGCACAGATTTTTAGGCTCTCATTGACTTTTTTTAAATGATAGCGGGCTATGGGAAAAGAAGTTGCCCTGCAGTTGGCATTAACAAATGCTTATTTGTTGTGTTACAACATTTTTGTGTCTAAAGATGACATTGGGGCAGTTTAGTTCATGAGGTAATAAATACAGTAACAGAATAAACAAAACAAAAAAATTTGCCAAATGGTTAATTTAAAAATACACGTGAGGCCAGAATTTCACAATCGATACATCCCACGTTTACAAGTAGGGCTCTGATGAATTGTTGTTTTAATTAGTCAATCTAAGTTATAGTTAAAGGTACAGTGTGGGAAATTTCAACACTAGATGTCAGTAGATTGCAGTCAACTGAATTCTGTTTTTGTACTATGGTGTACAAATCGGTTTATTATGTATGTGGCTAGCCTCTAGCCATTTATATAAAACACTAGAAGGTGGAACAGTGACGTTTATCTCGTCCACTGTGGTTAAAATGGCAAGGCATATATTATGATTGCATTCATTCTACATTTATGACAAGGGATTCATTTCTTGGAAGACGTAATTACACACTAGTCACTGTATATTTATGAGTACAATATTTTATTTACCATTTAATAACCTAGAAAAACTGACTGTACCTTCAAATTTCATTAGTGAGGTGGTTCAAGAGTAGGGCTGCCACAAACGATTATTTTGATAGTCGACTAGTCACCGATTATTTTTGCGATTAGTCGACTAATCAGATCATGCATCCATTGGATGTAAAACCTACAGCTTATTGCACCAGCAGCATCTGCTCTTATATAACTATCATTAGCTTACAGCTTTAAGTGTTTAACACTAGGTTTACTAACCTGCGCAAATTTGCGTAACTTCCCTAAACCCAACACCCCCTAGAATTACTGGCTTTTTTATTTTCTTGTGCAAGTCCCACGGTGTTAATCACCCCTGCTGAGATTTTCACAGGTCGTCAGCTTGTTTCTCTGTTTCATTTAAATAAATTAAAATGTAAAAGGTGATTAACACATTGTAAAATAGCAACACCTGATCAAGTAATTCAGTGGAAATGAAGCAAGATTTAAATTTTCTATACACCCTTAATCGGATAAGTGGATGGATGGGACAGTGAGTGGGTGGATAACTGTGAAGTAGGCGATACACAAAATTCACGGTTCGGTTCGGTTCGATACTTTGGTGTCATGGTTCGATATTTTTTCGATACAAAAAAAAATGTTCATGCCTTTTTAATTTGTCATTTATTAAATTTTCACGGCACATTCTGCACCACCTCTCTGTGCGTTCATCATTTGTTTGAAGCCAG